ATTCCACAACATTATATTGCAAGCCATTATAATTATATTCAGACTCGAAATATTCAGTCATCATGATAAAATTGAGCAAAGTATCACTTTTATAAACACTGCAAAAGATATACATGTGATAAGTAGCGATGAGTTCCATCGAAGTAGCAACAAATATTTCCGCTCAATAAGATGGCGTCCGCTCCCACAACATGTTGAGAGAGCGATGCGAAAAGTGCGCCATTCAGCGGATAGTTCCGCAGCGCTCTTTTCTGCTGAATGCACCCAATAATGAATTTGCTGCAAGGCGAGCATTGCGCAGACGCTGACGTCACAAAGCGGAAAGTGTGGGTTGTTTCTGATGCCATATTGGCAATCGAAACTGGGTCCACTTTAGAAGCGGAGATTTTACTCCTTCTTAATACTCCGTGGTTCTATGATAGGTACCCTGCATCATTGCACCCGAATGCAAACCGAGTACATAACGAGTTTTCCGAACGGCTGGTGTGCATTAGTGGCACACTAGTGTGTATTTCCGAACGCAGCCATAATCATGCTTTGTGATCACGTGTGCAAGTTTTTGTAGGCAGACAAGATATTTTTCTACTGCAGATTCTTATTTGATTGTATTGAGAAAGATGGTATACTTAATAAAGCAATTAAATAAAAATCCTTGACTCGCTGTTCAAAATGTTGTTGGTAATGCAAACTTGTGACCTAAATTCATATGGGAAATATTTTGAGATCAGGATTTAACCGATCGTAAACGAATATAATTTTTGTAAATTTTACCTATACATATAAATGCAACATCAGAAGATTTTTTTATATGACATTTTATGTTTCACATTAAAACAAGCATGTACAAAAAGTCGGAAACGCGAGATTCACGATAGATTAACTTATATTTAAATCATTAGGTAATATTATTAATTTTAATTAACAAATTTAATAATACATTATGAAACATTTATAACTTTTTTCAAAATTTATAGGAATTTGGACAACGGCAAAGTCGCGTTTATAGTTACAGCATCTATTTTAAAGAAATGCTGGATTTAAACTTTAATTCATATAAAAAAAAATTTTAATAGTATTAATTTTAATTAACTTAAGCTTCTCTGCTTTAAAACAAATCTGTTTTAAAAACACAAATTCACTACTTTAAAAATACAAATTATTTTCTTATATTGTTTTTGAAGCAATAAATTTGTGTTTTAAAAATAATGAACCACTGGTGACAGATTTCCTAACCTAAATAGTCGTCAATTTTAATAATATATTTCGATCCGCGAAGCAGCGCGACACTTTTTTCTTGTCAAATCTTTATTTTTATGCGAAAAAGCATTGATTCAGTGTATTTTTATCAAAATTTGAAATGAACGAGATCTTCTTGACATTAATTAGCACTTGCAGTACTCCAGGAAATTAAACTACAGACAAGACGAACAAGGACAGTTCTATAAAATCCGCTTTCAATTCTGATGGGAAAATTTCATTGAAATTAATTCCCGTTTTGGAATAGCATTTCAGAAAAAATTCAGTTTAATTTCAGCGATTTTTTGTTAAAAAATTCATTTTCAGCAAAATTTGAGTAAAATTTCAGAGAAATTTTAAGAAAAGTTTCCAAAAAGTTTCTACAGAAGCATAAAGCGGGGTCTACAATAGAAGTCGTAGCAGTCGTACAGTCTTAAGTCGTAAAAAATTAACCAATCACAGTAGAATATGAGAAGAATAATTGACTATGATTGGTCAATTTTCTACGACTTAAGACCCTACGACTTAAGACCCTACGACTGCTACGACTTCTATTGTAGACCCCGCATAAGGGCCTGAGCACAATAGAGGAACAGGAATTAGATATTAAGATTTTACCCTATCAGAAACTGATTACATCGGAATACACGGTTTCTGATAGGTTGAAATCTTAATATCTAATTCTTGTTCCTCTATTGTGGGCAGGCCCTAAGACACAAGACGTCGAAAAATCCGTAATGCGGGGTCTACAATAGAAGTCGTAGCAGTCATAGGGTCTTAAATCGTAGAAAATTGACCAATCATAG